CACAGCGGCCGATGGCTCGAACCGCCTTCCTTACGAAATCCACATCCACCTCTGTGGCGTATTCCTTCAGCTCTGCCAGCACCTGCCGGAAGGGGACAAGACAGTGAGAGTCTGGCTGCAAGAAAAGCCACCAGAAAAGCAGGGCAGTGACCCAGCAGAAGCAGACTGGGTGGTACAGCTGCTCCCATCCCCATCCTGCAAAGCTGGGTCTAGGATTTCTCGGGTGAATCCCTCCCCGTGGGGCTGCAGCCCCCTGCATGTCCCCCTCGGTGCCCACCCAGCAGAGTCTGGCAGACCCTGACCTGAGCGATGTTGGCCTGAGAAGCCAGGCGGATCATGATGTCCAACTTCTCCAGTTTGACGTAGATGGGATCATTGTACTTCACAAAGAACACCTTCATCTCATGTTTCAGGATCTCGGGCCTGGAGGACAACGAGAGGCAGCGATTAAGGGAGACACATGCTCCTTCACTTTGACCACAAAGAGAGACATCAAAAATCTTCCAGAAGCCATGGTTTTCTCCAGAGCTTTCTGGATGCTCGATACTGCTATCAGACGATTTCTCTAGTGGCAGCACCAAGATCTGAGCATGCTTCCACCTCCAGGCTCCGATCCAGGCAGCAACCAGCAGGCAAAGGAGTGCAGAAAGGGAGTGGTCCTCCCCAGAAAGCTGCATGCTGGTCAGGAGCTGGACAGGGATTCATTCCCCTGACCCTGCAGCCAGCTAATGGCCGAATCCATGCAAATCCATTACTTCCTTAGCCATGAATCATCACTCCTCATCCAAGGCTGGAGCAAGATGCCGAAGGTTTGAGGACACCAAGGACATAAGCTGGGGAAACCCAGAGCTGGAGAGCGAGCAGCTCTGGGCCAGGAGGATGAGGCTCCTCAGCCACAAGCACAAGGTTTTGGGGGCCTGTTCAATGCCAAGAAATCCAAGACGCCGTGATCACCCCCCTGGACTCTGTCCCTTGGCTCCCCTTCGCTGGCACACAGGGGACAGAGCACAACCTTGCCGCAAACAAAGACCAGACGCAAGGCAACAGGGGACGTTCATCGTGCCAAGGTTGGAAGGGAGGTCTTGGGGGGAGCAGGGATGCAAACCCAGACCCCAGGGCTAGGCTGGACCTTTCTCACCAGTTCATCCTCTCTCTAAGCTGGGAAACAGATAGGCCAGGTCCAGCTCCAAGGAGTCAACCTGCCTTCCACACTCCCGCTCCCAGGGACACTAATTGCTTTCCACTTCTCCCAGAAATTGCTGCTATTTTTAATAGACAACCATGGCGTTAACTGGTAGGACAACAAGTCATCTGACTGGGGCTGTCACTGCGGAGCGTGGCTCTCCAGCTGGCCAGTTCTGCTCGGGGCACATGCGTGGGGCCTCGGACACCTCCTGCCCACCAGCAATTTTAGATCAGCAAAGGGACAAAAGGACTCTCGGCACTTGTTCAAAGAGGACGACTGCATAAAACCAAGCTGATATCAGAAAAATTCCTCACTGGACATTTAATGACTAAACCAAAGTCTCAGCTTTTGGCCTTTCCATCCTTTGCTCTCCCAGATACACAATAAATTAAAAACAAACCCCTCCTGGAGATCCCAGCTTAGCTCCCTGCTCGTTGCCTCACCTGCCTCTGTGCTCAGCTCTTGGATTTTAAATAACAGAGAAGAAAAAAAACCCATACGACAGGTTGCATCAGCAAAGCCCCAACACCGCTGCAGTCAGAGGGTTTGAAGAATTGGGAAGCACCACCCGTAGGGAAGAGGAGAAGCTTAAGTCAGGTTGTCCCTCCTGCTGCACTGGGACACCCACCTTTTCTGCACGATGAGGTTGATGTTGCGCAGAGCCACGTACTGCAGCTCGGGCTCTGCGGAGAGCAGGGTGACCAGCGGTGGGGCCAGCTTCTTTAGCAGCGTGCCGTAATAATCCAGGTCCTTCGACAGCATCTCCATGAACTTCATCAGCACCTTCACCGCCGAGAGCACCACCGCCGAGTTGGCGTGGGACAGCCGGGGCGTCACCCGCTCGCAAATGCTGGAGGTGTCGGGGGGTGAGGGGGAAGTAGAAGGGAAAGACAATGATCACAGCTCATCTTTCTGCTTAAACATTGCTGCTGGCAGCGACGAAGAAGAGCAAGGTGCTGAGCAGCACTTCAGACCTTTCCAAGAGATGCTGAACTGGCTCTTAAATGCCCTGATGAAGGTTATTTCCCAGCCCCTGCAAAACCCTGTTGCAGTGACCCCCTTCCAGAGCTCCCTAATGCCTGTCGTCCCTTGCTGCACAGTCAGGCCACGTTTTGAAGCGGCTCAAGATGAACAATCCCTGTGCCAGCACGGGGACAGGTCTTGCTACAGGACCACAGCAGTCTCCAGATGGCTGTGCCCAAGGCACGGAGGCCAGCAGATGCCCACTGTCCCACCTCCCGCAGCAGGATTGTAAGGGACAGGAGGATAAAGATGCATCTTAGAGGAGAACAGGCAGTGTCAGGCTCTTCAGTCAACACCTGCCTGTCCCCCTCCCTCTTTCCAACCCCACTCCTGCTGGTCTGTGGTGCCCTGCAGCACCCAGAGCCTCCCTCACCTCTGGGCTTCCCGGTCATCCTTGGGCATGTAGTTTGCCAGGCAGTCCAGGATGAAGATCTGGCCCCACTCGGTGCACTCGTTCAAGGCTGTGAGCAGCTTGTTGATGGACTGGGGGTTGAGGTCCAGGAGGTTACTGCTCGGGTGAGACTCCGCTATTTCCGAGAGAGCCGCTACTGCATTGGCCACTACCTGCCAGAGGGGACAGGGCACGTGTTAGGTGACACCAAAGGTGGCTCAACAGCCTGGGGGAAAGCTGGTGCAAGCGGCTGAGCTGTGTCCTCGGTATTGGCATCCCAGCAACACCTGGGCACCAGCTTCTCGCTCCCCACCAGCTGATCCTCGGGAGATGAGCAATCACCACCAGCACG